TTCCCCTAACAAAAACGAAAGTGGCTCCAAACCAATTTAATTCATCAAATTAATCTAGTTTTTGACAGCTCACAATTATAGTACGTTTTCAACACACTCCAGACGCTTTGTTATATGTGGAAAAACATGAATTTAAACAAGAGAATTTAGGCCTTTGTTCTTTATCGTTAAAGTCAAACACTAATATATATATATATATTACTGGGGGTTCTTATAGGCTTTCAACCATAGACTCTACCCATCACTCACAGGAAATATAAAAGGATTTTGGGTTCCGCCCCCACACCGCCCTTTTTTTGTCGAATGAGTAATTAAGTTCACTTTAATGCTTTAAAATGATCTTGTTTTTTTCCTTGTTTATAGTATAAATACAAATGAAGATTGAAGAATATGAGTAAGGTGAAATAAAAGAGAAACAAATGAATAGAATGTACAAAATCCAGCCATCTGAATTAATCTCTTCCAATCGTGTCATTATCACATTGGAGTAACTCAAATTTCCCAAGGACAAGCAAAGATAAGAAAATGATAATGAAAGTTAATTAAATAAAGGGACAAACAAATTTAATTATGGTACTTCATATGAATTTTCATGATGAAATGATGTCAAAAAAATAATGTAATTTACATGAATATCGTCAAAATACCAATGTATGATATTAAAATACAAATACAAAACGGTGTACTTTCTTAAAATGCTACACCTATGATTGCAACCCCCTCAAATCTATGTCATTTCAAGGATTCCCCCTAGTTGTAGTTTATTTAACCTAAAAAAGATGGGATCATGGTGGGGAAGCTGACTCAAAACTTTGGCTCCTTTCCAAGAAAATGGTAGAAGTAAACAAGAACAAAAAATTAATCAAAACACTTGTTTTTGTCCTAATAAACCATGTATTTGCAATAAATGTTAAGTCCATAATAAGTAGATTATCAGTTGTGATTAAGTCACATATAGCAAAGCCTGATCACACACCATCGTGCTCCAAAAGGTTCACCATTAATTATGGGGAATATACATGCCCTGTAGAGTAAAATGATAATGGGTGAAAATTGATCACAAACCCAAAGTCAATCAACATAAATTTTTTTTTTCCCAAAGTTTCAGTTACAATGAAATTACTCTTAATTAAAGCATATGTAGAAACTTTGCTTTTTACAATTAATCACAATCATAACATTTTCATGGCAATTTTAATTAAAAGCATATGAAAAAAAAGAAAGAAATAAGAAAGTGGGGGAGGGAGACATTCAAAATATTCTCCCCGATGATAACTGACAGTTCTGTGGGAGAAATCACCATCTCATCCAAGATCAAGAGAACCAAGCCCTCTACAAACGCTAAGCAGAGCCCCATGATTCTGAATTACTGGGACTATCAATTATGAACACTCTCTCATATATGGGACCCAAACGTTGCAGAATGGCATATTTTATTCTAATTGCTCATTTGTCTTCAATGAAAAGAGTAAAATAGATTTTCTCACTTTGGGTATAAAAATAGTCGTTTTATTTACTCCTTTCAAAGAGAGGGGATCAAAACAAGTAAGGTTTGGAAATTACAAAAAAAAAAGGGGGGAAATACCCTAGAATATTCGTTTCTGGTATTCATGTTAGTATTAAATTATAATATCTTGTGTTTGGACCATTTGAAGATAGTCAGTTTTAGCTGTTTGATCCATTATCATTATTATATTTTTGAGTTTCTCAACACCCCCCTCCCCCCCCCCAAGCCTAGTACATCATCATTAATTAAAATTTCATGAAAATAAAAAAATAAATAAATTAACCACTATATACTAATGGAATAGGGCAAGAAAAGCTCAAAGGGATTTCGTGCAACCCCATTTCTTTCCCCATAATAGACAAGTGACATATATATAAAACTTGTAAATGATAAAAAAAAAAAATTCGATACTTTGCATTATTGTACAACAAAACATTAATTAATTAGCAACTAACAAAAAACCAAAGGCGATATTAGAAATATTGAAAAAAAGAAGCAAAAATGTAGCAAAAGAAGGATGGAATGGAATGTGGGAAAGCATAAAAAAAAAGAAAAAAAGAGAAAGAGGCTCAAAAAGCTAGGAGTGGGGTAAATTAGTCAATCTGTTTAGGGTTGGTGAGGAACAAGAACAGTATCATCATTGTCACCACACACATTGGACAGCAAATATGAGGTAAATTTAAAAACTAAAAAAAAAATGGAAAACAAAAGGGTGTTTTATTAGAACAGTGAAAAGCCGAAAAGGGTATTCTTCTTTGAGTGGACTGGAGTTGTACATAGTAGAAAAAGAGAGAAGCGAAGGGAAAGGCTTGGCTGGCTAAACTAAAAAAGTTGAAGTAAGTAATGCCCCCATTCTAGTATGCTACTTTGCAACCTCCCCGCAGCTTCCTCAATCCTCAGCCAGGCGGCTCTGCCAGCTGGTTTAATTTTGTGAACCCAAACCCCCGAGCCCTCTCGCCTTAGCTAAGACGACCCTTACATTGTACCCTTTGACACCCCTACAACTTCTAGGGTATTCGCAACTCTCTCTCTCTCTCTCTCTCTCTCTCTCTCTCTCCCTGACTCTCTAAAATAATAAAGATGAATATAGAAATGTGTTAATATGGGTAAATGTGAGACCTTCGTCATTAATAGGCGATGATGATGAGGTTAGAAAGGCCAGGTCGGCCGTGTGTGTGAGTGTGTGGGGATCACTTATAAACGCCACGTTTTTCCGTCGATTGTTCTCTGCTCTTTCTCCTTCCCTTACTTAAAACCCCCCCTTCCCTTCCCCTCCTTCGCATTTCTCTCCTCAAATCAAATCTCACTCATTCTCTCTTTACTCTACTCTCAATCTCATTTCCTCTCTCCCTTCTACTTCAACAAGAAAGAACCTACCAAGCAAACTTCATTTCTGCAGCGTTATTCATAAACTTCTTTAAAGTGCTAACTTTTACATGGTTAACAGTTTACTTGCTTAGCTGTTAGCATCATATTGAATTGTTTTTTAGTTTTAAGAAACAGGGCAATGGGTGACTCACCAAACTCGGAAACGGAGTCAAGCACTCTTAGCAATATCTCCTCTACTCTGTCTCCACCTTCACCATCCTCCTACGTCGGTCAAAAGAATCAGCTGAGGACGCTACACCGACCCGAAGAGGCAAAAGCGTCCGAGAGACAGTAGCAAGCACCCGGTTTACCGTGGGGTCCGATGCGGACGTGGGCAAATGGGTTTCCGAAATCTGAGAGCCCCGGAAGAAGAACCGGATCTGGTTAGGCACTTTTTCGACTCCCGAAATGGCGGCACGTGCCCATGACGTGGCAGCGTTAAGTATCAAAGGCAACTCTGCGATTCTCAACTTCCCCGAACTCGCCGGTTCGTTGCCACGACCAGTTTCCAACTCGCCTCGTGACGTCCAAGCGCCGCTGCTAGGCTGCCTCAATGGAGTGTTCTCAGTAGTAACAGTAACCACACCACCGCCACATCATCGTCGTCGTCGTCGTCGTCAGCGTCCACGTCATCGTCATCGAATGTCGATGACGTGTCGACACCGGAGGAGCTGAGCGAGATAGTGGAGTTGCCGAGTCTGGGGACGAGTTACGAGTCGGCCGAGTCAGGCATCGAGTTCGTGTACGTGGACCCGGATGATGGGTGGCTTTTAAATCCCAGTGGCATGCCGTGGTATTATGAAGAAAATTGTGGGTATTTTGGGGACGAAATTTCAATGCAAATGCAAGAAAGTGTGATTACAACTGGGTTTGGTCCTTTACTATGGGATCATTAATGCATAACCAAAGAAAAAAAAATCTACGTGTGCCACTTTTTTTTGTCTAAAAATCCTTTTACAGTTTTTATTTTACGAAACTGCCCTTTTGCAATTTTTTTTCTCTAGGAAAGGGCGGAAAAAATACCTTGCTTCGTTATCAGGATGTTTGTACTTGGTTGTGCTAGAGTTTTTGGTCTCTTCATTCAGCAGTGGTCCATTGGGGTGCATCAAATCCCTAAGGGAAAAAAAAAAGTGGCAAATTTTATCAGAGACTTTGAGCTTGGCATGCAGTTGTTTTGCTTGGATTGGTCAAATTCGACTACTTTTTAGAGAAAGAAGAATAATGTAATAATGTATGTGGTAAAAAAGTGTTTCAAAGCTTGGAGAACACTTAAATCTATTTTCAATAGGATAAAGAAAAGGTCAAGACAATGGGTCCTTCTTCTTCTTGTGTATGGTTTATTTTTCTCTTTGTTTGATCTTAGCTTTTGTGTTGATTTTGGGCATTGACAAGTGATGTGGAGTAATTAAAGCCCATATGTTTCTGTTTGGAGTGATTCAATGTTGAAGACACTTCCGATGCGTTTGATAAAACCATTGAATTATAATAGGCTCAAGTCAAAAATTTTCACATGGGTTATGCATATGATGTGTTTAATTCCTGCATTACACATACTGATTTCTGGGGTGCTTCTGTGCCTAATTGTTTATTAAATGTTAACTATGTATGCTTTTTTTTTAAAATAACTGACTTTAAAGAAAATTTTATATTTATGACCTCTATTTTGGACTAAAGTGTTAGTCCTCTCAAATAATGCCATCTGCCATTAAATTGAATGTGCTTTCCTGTAATGAAAACGCAATGTTGAAAAGAAATTGTGATGTACAATTTGGAAGATTGATGAAATTCCCTTGTCGTTCCTCGTCCCCCACACACCCCACCCCCACCCCATAAAAGAAAAAAAAAACTTGAATAAATCGCAACAATACAGCTGCTGATAATAGATATCTTGGTGCTATATCAAGCTTTTAGCCATATATACAAAGAGTGACAAGTGCCCACGAATCAAGATCACCCAAAAACGCATGGGTTGGGTATACCTTGAAAGATTAAACAACCAAACCATTTAGAAAGCCTTCATTTCATATGTCCCAATCTGGCCATGGAAATTGAAAACTCTTATGTATAAAATAATGGTCAGGGTTCAATGGTTTCAAAGATGTTCTCCCATATATACATTCTCCTCTTAGTTCAATAAACCTAACTCTATGGAGCAGTAAAAAGGGGAATTGATTGTTCTTCTTTATTATAATAAATGGTCTGTTAAGAGAGGCTTATTCCTTTGACAGCTGCATTTCAACCACCGTGTTCGTATTCTTCTCAGGTCCTTACAATTTGTATTTATGTACATGTCATTCTGATTCTCCTCTCTCCATGACAAACGATACTTGTTATTTAATACAATAAAATTTGAGATGAAGGCATGATGCCAAAGCCTCTGGCCCTTGGCCACTTGCAAATTTTAGCTAACACCGTATGACACTAGAGTTGTCCAACAGGTTTGTTTGGATTGCATTTTTGTTTCCCCTTTCCCCTCAACTCAGGTTGGTTAGCTTTTCTCTTTTACTATTTTTCCTTTCTTCTTCTTGATATAGGATAGTCGTTCAATGCTCCCTAAACTTCACATACCTCCCTCTAGGGATACTCACTTGCCAATTTGATTGAATGGAAGAAATGGAGATTTGGAATTTTATAATAGAAGATAGGTACACTTATTATTAAACTAAATGATCGAGTAATAATATTAAAATAAATTATATACCTTGTAACTGCTTATGAACAGGAAATCAGGAATCAAATTACTACAACGGAAAGGGGCATTATTTTCCATCTGGCATATGGTCATGTGCGAAGCCAAAGAAACAGTAAAGTCCCATGTAGTTCACGGCTGGAAAAGTTTGACCAATAATTTACAAAGAGCCTTCCTGGCAACTGCAGGTTGTTGGATGCTGAGCTCAACAAAAACTAGTAGCGCAAAGAAAGCAAAATGCAAAACGAAGGACCAAATTAAGGAACTTTGAATTAAATACTACTTGCACAAAACTCAACTAATTCATCTTGGTTCCACAGTTTCCTCCCTTAATTTTGAGGCAAAGACTCAGTTGTTATGGAAATGATTGGGTCTCTCTTTCATTTCAGGGCAATGTTTTCTAATTCAAGCTGGAGGTACTCAAGAAACAGCCAATCTGAACTAGTTAATAAGTAATTATAATCCTCTTCCAACAACTCTGGGTGGGAAAGAAGAAATAAACAAGGAAAAAAGGGCGAATGCAAAGCCACAAATTTTTTGTCCTTTCGTTTTCAAATTTATGAATATTTAAGCTTGCAAATATAAATTAGTCATCCCTACATGCTCCATATCTAGCTTACAAATAATCAGCTCCTGCATTAAACTTTTGTCATTTCCTGTCTGCTTATTAGCCCCGGAGTTCTCGAGATAAAAAGGTAAACTTGGGTGGAGTAGTACTGCTCCGTTACAAAGAGAAACTTTTCATTAACTGACAAACAAATAAGAGAGAGAGCCCAAACCCACTTTTCATTTCCTCCTCTTTAACATTTTCTCTGCACCATGCCCTGGCCTTCTCCACCTCTGGAGTTGTCTTATTTTTTGTCTAAAAATATAAAGAAAAACAAGTCAAAAGCCAATGACCTACTGCTTAGCTGGAAGATGTGAGAGCAAGCCAAAAATATAAATTACGGGACCCCATTTCATCTCTCTATATATGTCCTTTTATAATGATATATGTCTTAATTCATACTACTATTTTGCCTCTTCTTTTTTGTGAAAATATTAATCACTATTATTTATGTGGTTGCAAATTGAGAGTCCTTAAATCTAGTAATAAGATTACATTAATTGGTTTAGTGTCTTTTTAATGCTGGACACAGCAATCCCAAAATTAAATAAACTGAAATTAATGGATCGATGATCGATAATCAGCCCAGCTGGAGAAATGAGGCAAAATTAATGTTAAGTAATATTGCAGATTCCATTAGAAGCAGAGAGAAATGTGCGCTATGTTGCAGCTTCTGTGAATTTTTTCTCGTAATCAGTCGCACGTGCACTTTTAATTACATCGTTGACCTTTGGTTTCTAAATGGAATTATTTGGGAATCACAACTTTAAGCACTTTAATCTTTTAATTCCTGTTCAAATTCATGGAAAACCAAAAGAATACGCTGTTGGTTCCTTAAATTTCAAGTGTCATTCTTGTTGCTCTGAAGCTTTGCTCGGTCCTCAGATGTGAACCCTATAAAGTCTTCCTTATTTGTTGCCTTAATCTTGCATATTAACCACTAATCAGCACAACAAAACATGAATCCGGCCGCCCTAATCATGTGATTTATATTAATAATCCTCATTGCGGGCCCTAACTTAGAAGCGCGAGAAATTGAATAATACTGTTTTCTTTCGAATAATGTCAAAGCTTAATCACCTTTTTCCTTGATTCTTAGTCAATATCAATCTCCATAATCATTCTTTTTTCTAATAATTAATTCCCAATCATCGTACGCAGGTATGAGGTGAGCCTTTGCCTTCTCTTAGCATGCTTCTCACACACAGTCAGGTCAGCAGAGTTGGGCGAGCCTTTTTTCTATCAATCGGATTCTATGCCACATGCTTCATCAGTTCATAGAATAATAGTTTAGTAGTTTGTATTAGCAAATATAATAAGCCAATAATCAAACAGTAATTAGAAGGAAAGGTAGGAAAACCCTAGCTTAACAAACACGTTTATTAATATTAAAAGACAGTAACAAATATTGAAATTTTTATTAATCCAATTTTAATGCAGATGTAAAAGATTCGTATCAGCCTTGATTGATTTCAGACAGATATAATGTGTACAAATTATAGTGATGTTGTCCCCCTCCGGAAAAAGCTTGGATTCTTATATCTCAATTTGTTCTCCAACAGATTGATTCTCCAAGAATTATGTGGCCAAATATATTGGAGCTACTCCCACATGTTATAAACTCAATTATGCACAAGAACAACGAGACACAATTGGATGAAATAATTAATGCTTTATTAATTTTTTTGTTGGTGGACTACATTCATGATTTCTTTATTTATAGGGTCAACATTTTTGGTAGGCTTTCAGGGGTAGTTAGTTTGTGCCAGTTTGGTGGCTCATTTAGTCATGAAAGCCCCTGCCAGGACCATATTTATTAGACAAATTTTAGCTTACAAGCAATTAACCTGAATTTCTTCTAACTCTGGCCTTACTCATCGGTAAAGTGTTTCAGCACTTAGCCTTGTGACGGGGTCGAACCATTCCACTAGGTAGAGCTAGGGGCCATCAACAAAGTGAAACAGTTGACGTTTTCATATTCTCGTGTGGGACTGATCAGAGTCCTTTCTTTCTTGGTTTTAAATATTACTGTTATTTTTCTCAAACCTTAAACGGGGTCCAAATGCATACATGACAAATATCATGAAACCTCTCTCTCTCTCTCTCCAATAGAATTTGGCAACAAAATTGTGTCTTTAAAGGCATCATGTATTGTCTGCTTCGGACAGTATGCACGTTTGGTGAAGTGGATATTGGCACTTCAAAGACATTAGTTCTTCAGCCATTAAGGTGATAGCAGTAACAGGAATATTATTAGAGCTTCTCACCAGCCTTCTTTAAATTTTGAGCGGCTATTATCAATACCAATTAGTTCACTGAAATTTGGTGAATGAAATTGAAGCATTGGTAAAGCTTTTTCCTCATATCAATTTCAATGTGGTCCAAATTTTAAATCCAATAGCAAGTCTGCCAATACTTAAGGGGGGTCTTTTTGGTATTGGCTTTTGGACTAACTTGAAAACTTGCTATATTTGTCCATTTCAATGGATTCCAAAGATATTCTCTAGACAAGAAGTGCCAAATATTTTTTATAGGTTTAGACCTATTAACCTAACAAAATATTCTCTCCAGAACTGAGAAAAAAAAACCCCCCATTTGCTTCAATAATCAATACTTTCACCAACTCTCATGAGTGAACTACCTCCAATTTAGTCATTATTAATTAAACTAGAATGAGAGGAGTAAACGGCATTAATTAAGACACAAAAACTAAACAAAGAATGGGTTCAATTGAGTCACTTTTGTTGAGCACCATGGAGTCTAAAGCTGTGGCTAGAATTAAATGGTTGCATCCTCCACTTTTCGACAAGTAGAGATGAGCAACTATGTACATTCTTACTCCACAAATTTAGAAATCACCATACGTTATTTGATTGACATTTATCTTTCAAATTTTTCAATAACGATATGTTGAAAATGACATTCAAACATATAATGTTGAACCATTTACAAAATACAGTTAATTTTATAAAGTGTAGAGATAGTAGCATGTGACTTACTAGTTATCTATATATTATATGCATCAAATGTGTATGAACCTTTAATTAATTAATTAGCCTTAATTTTTCTTATCTTTCCTTCTCCAAACATAGTCACTAACTCTCTTTTATTGTTCCGCCGGCCGGCATTGGCAATCAAGTACTCTTGTGAAGAGATGATCTTTGGAGAAGAAAGTACACTTTTGTTGTATTGATAGGATATATAGCAGAAATTAACCATTAAAATTGGTAGCCTAGCTAGGCTGCACGTAGTTAGGCTCCAATAACTCCATAATTGTGAAAAGAGCTTTTTAAGTTTGTAATTGCCATTCCATCAAACCTAGAGATTGGCAAAACTCGTCAACTAAGAATAGCTAGGTGGTTTTACCACTCTCTTGGCAAGAGATGCAGGTTAGTACTTGCTAGATTGGGGATGTTGGCAAATAATACGACTCCAAAACGGTGGCTGCTACGGCCTATTGTGGTGCTAAATGCAAGAGTAATTCTTTCCATTTTTGAGCCTCTATATCATCTTAGGCTAGTCTTAGACTGGAGTCGGCTCAAGATAATGGAAAATGATTTAAAGATTACTAGGTTGAGCCATTTAATTAATATATAGATAGAAAGATCAGCAGCTAATGCAAAATTTATGGATTTGGTTGGAGTTGGATGACCAATATTCAACAAAATTAAATGATTTAAATTTTTTGCACCAAATAAATTAATATAATGACAGTAAACAGATATTAATCACAAAATTAAATCAAAATCCCAAGCATGTAACGTATAGATTAATTACGTTAGTACTCGAATGTAGGACATGCATACATACTTCTACGATCAAAAGAGGATGAAGCATAAAGTAGTGATCAAATGTCATTGATTTCCTAAAGTTGGGTTTGTGTCTTAAAGCATTATGGAATATAAGATTGGTGTTAGATAACCATTGGATGTTGGGTGTCACTTCTGGATTTTTGTTAGCCTTTTAGTGTCCCTTCAACGATAAAGTAAAGACCTTTAAAGGGGAAAGAAACAATGCAGCAACTGTTCTTGTTCTTAGAGTAGACTGCATCATTAGCTTCTCATCATAATATTTTGATTGCACCTAGGAAATTACTATTCGGTTATCATGACTTTTGGCCTAATATTAGAGACAGTACGCTTCTTCCTGTTGTTTGATTCCTAGATATATACACAATATTAGAGTCCTTTTGGAATTTCATGTTTAATTAGTGGGCTTCCATTGAATGATGGGAGTTGATTTTAGTTTCTCTTACTTTTTTCTAAGCTGTATTATGGTTTTAGTTACCGTTCAAACTCAGTGTCAGTGAGACTTTGAGATGGATGAGACCCAAGCTCTCTCCATCTTTTCTCAATAATTAATTGCAGAAGGAATAAGTTTATCAATAATTTGTCCACTTTCAGAAGCCAGCAATTGCTATATCTCCTCATCGTATCAAGCACTTACGCTTTCAAGCATAGATTCATTTTCTCCATGATAAATTTAGTTCACATTATACTTTTCCTCTCTCACTTTTGCATTTTCAATCATTCATTACAAATTGTACAACTCAGAGAAATAATTTAGAAATGTTAATTTAAGAAATGGAGGAAAACTTAAGTGTGTGACTATATATCATTGCCTTTTTCTCTAATTAATAATGTCTTACAATTGTTCATACTATACATGCATTAATTACACATTTTTTAAATTATTAATTTAAACTATATTACCATCAAAAAAATTAGTTGATCTTTAGATCTCAGTTCAAATGATCTCAACATATGCGAGCTTAGTCGAAGTTTACAATAATTAATTTATTTAGTTAATTGATTTTATTGATTATTTTTATAGATTTAATGTGATAAATAAAAAAATTATTTGACTATAATTGAAATTTTTACTTGTAATTGTAATTTCATCAAAAACATATTGATC